ACAAAATGATCCTCGTGGGTCTGGACCACTCCCGGGGTTCAGCTGTTCCTCCCGAGTCGCTGCCGTGGACGGCCCTGGGAGGGCCCCCCAGAGAGGCCGAACATTGGCAAGACTTTCCGTCGAGATTCTTGTCACGACGTCAGGACGTCAGGACAGGTGTGGCACGGAAGCAGGGGGCCAACACCGGACGGCGGGGCTTGCAGGGCAGAGGGAACACCCACCGCGCGGTGGCCGTGCACCGATGACCAGGAGGACGCGAGGAAGAGCCTGGGGAGAGGGGCGCAGGAGGTTATGTGCACAGGATGCGGACAAGAATTGTACACGTATCCAGTGCGACTTGGAGTTTCGGGTTCCTCTCCCCAGAAGCCAGGGGGCGCAGTGGATATGGATCAAAGTCTGGCCCCTAGTGGCTGGATTCTGATTCACATCCACTGCGCCTCGGCCGTTTGGCGCCCATTTTCCCAGAAACGAATCTTGCCCGCTGAAAAATTCGGGCCAGGCGGTGGGAGGGGGGAGGAAGGGAGGCCCAGGCCTGTGCTTCTGTCCGTCGTGGCTTCTTGCGCACGTCGTGGGGCAATGCTCCCATACCCTCTTGCATTTACATCATCAGTACACGTCGATCATTTCTAATCGTGCTCATTCCTAACTGTGCTCGTTTCTAAGTGTTCCTTGCCCCCTAGTGGCCAGGAAGAGGCCCAGGATAGAACAATTAGAAATGACAGTATCTTGGGCCCCCGAAAAATCAATCAAAGAACTCTCGAATAGTTAGAAATGAACCATGTAGTCAAAATGGTTCAGAAGAGTCCCGCAAGGGGACGAAGTACTCGTCCGACACTGGCAACAAAAAATGCACCGACGTGCTGTGCTCGTCCAGCTTGGTGGTCTCGACTTGCCTGGACTGGACAGCCCTGACCTCCTCGCGTCGTGAAGCAGTCGCAACGGGACTTTGGACGAAAACAAATAAAAATACTCAAATAATGTCCCCAAATGGTCAAAACTACTCAAAACATCGTCCCCATACTATTTTTCTGCCACTTTGGAATACTCCTCCTGCAGAGGGACGCGCCCGACTCAAGCTTGGCAGTGCTCGCTATCCTGGGGTCCTTGCCTGGCCCCCGGGACCATCTGACAGCGACTCGTGATGAGAAGCTCGTCCCCAGCGAAAGGGTCCAGAGAGCTCCAGGGGAGCAGCGCCGTGCAGCAGTCGCGACGTCGGATGCCTGGGGGGGGGGAGGGAGGGAGGGGCGGGTGCGGAGCGGGGAGGACGAGGAGGGAGAGACGGGAGGCGACGAACCGAGCGAGGGGGAGAGAGGAAGGGACGGACGGGGGGGCAGGGGGGAAGGGGGCTCGACGATCGAGCCGTGTGGTCGTTGTGCCTTCCTGGAGCTCTTTGGACCTCTGGGGGCTGGATCGTCGGGAGCGGAGACGACAGGAGTTGCAGGGCAGGGGAGCAGAAACATATGCGCGCAGTCGACCCGACTTCCTGACGCTCAAATGGGGTCTGAGGAGGTAGCGTTGGAGGATGGCGCCGCATCGCCGATGCATCAGTGATACATCGGCGACGTCGGGATCCGACGTGTCGGCGATGTGGCGTGATCCCGAATTCACCATCTACTCTGATCTAAGTCACGTGACTTGGATGTATGGCACGCCCTGGAACCACCACATCCCAAATAAGCAACATCTCTTGAAAAACAGCGATGGCTTCCGCCGCCTTCCGCCAGACTTCTGCCAGCTTCCGCTGGTGGAACCGCTGTCGTTGTACTTTCCCTGGCTTACGCCACATTCCGCTGCAGAAGAGAAGTCAGTCCTGCGGTTCCTTGGAGGCGGGGCCCCTTCAGGAAAGCCACGTATAAGAGAGTGTTTTTTTTGGATCGGAGATGACCCGGGTTATCCTGGGGGGGGAGGGGCTGGCCGATAACCTAACCTTCGCGCTGTGGGCAGCCCAGCATACTCCCGCGCGCACCAGTGCTGCAGCCCTACACCTGCTAAGGGTGCTGTGACGATGCTACGAGTGGTACTGCGACGATGCAGGCGCCGTCTGGGAATGCCTAAGGACGTAGCCAGTCCCAGTCGGAACCCAAGAGGAACAGGAGAGGCCACAGCCGGACCTCCTCGAGGAGGGAGGCAGCCCGAGGAAGACCCTACTATGCCGACAGTCCTCGGTTGCGCCGAAGAGGGGGCGAGGAAGCGGGGGCTCGCATGGTCCTTCCCTCGTCCTTCCTCCCGCCTCCTCCTCCGCCTCCTCCGCCTCCTCCTTCCGCCCCCTCTCCCTCCTCCTCCTCCTCTGCCTCCTCCTCCGCCTCCGAGTCCGCCTCCGCCTCCGCCTCCGACCCTCCGCCTCCGACCCTCGGGTGCGCCGAGGGGGAGGGCCAGGGGATACAGTCAACCCGTGGAGTAAGGATGCGCGAGAAGGATGCAAGGCCCTTGAAAGCCCATTTCGAAGTTTTCGAGCGGGGCGCGACCAACGAAAGTGGCCAAGGATGCACCAAGGAGGCAAGGATGCAAGGGTACCCTTGGGAAGGTTGCCCGTCCTTACTGTGCGGGTTGACTGTACATGGAAGGGGGAGAGGAGCAGACGAACACGTGCCCCTTCTATCTGGGCGATCCGATACGGTGGGGCATTGGACAAGGAAACCTGAGATAAGGAATCCAGGGTCTGGAAGCCAGTGGAACTCCAATCGTGGATCGGCCATGGATATCACCGCCGCCCTCACTGGATAAGGAATCCTCCAGGGTCTGGCGCCTCCTGGGACTATTCCTCAACAAACGCCTCCACCGTAGACGAACACATGTCCCTTCTATCTGGGCGATCTGATACCTGGGAGATCCCATGGCCCCCGCAAGGAAGTCCGCACACCCCTAGTCCTCCCCCCCCTCTTCCACGTCCTCGGAAGAAGGGAGGCGGCACGAGGAGGATGCCGAGGAGTCGTTGCACGAAGGATAGGAAGCGGGTTCTTCGAGGGAGAGGGGTCCTGGACTCCGGAGCCATCCCCAAGACCAACATTGAACCCACACGCTCTTCTTTCCGCGCGAGTGTAAACAAGAAGAAGAAGAAGTTAAAGGAAACGGAGGAAAGCTGCAGGGACGAACATCGGATGCACAGGCCACGAACGTAAGCAAATACAACGAACTGGCGATACCTTTATCTGACCATGACTGGTCGAGAGATCAACAGAGCAAGGACAAGCTTTGAACACCCAACTCAATTTCTGACGGGCCTGGATCCACAGGAAGGGCTCCACGCACTCCGACAGTGGTGGAAAACCTTCGGGACCATTGTCCCACGAAATCTCACTCCCTGGAGGCATCCCAGATGGGGCCCGAGCAGATGGGGTCGGAGGATCACGCCGCATCGGCGAAGCATTATCGCCGCCGATGGTGCACCAGCGACGTCGGGAACGGAGTACATCAGACTCCGGGTGGCGAGGCATCGCCGATGCATCGGCGATGCGGCGCGGTCCTCCAATCCCATTTGCTTGAAAATTCAAGAAGCGAATCCTGAGGGAAACGTATCCTGACCCTGGGGATTTTCCTTGGACCAACTCTTCATCCTGAACCGTGTATGACGGTCCCGAGGCCCGTGGAGGGCCCCCAAGGGGCCCCCTCCAGCCAAGACAACGGCGGACAACTGCCGGGGCCCGCTTCCCTCGGGACCCGAGTTGGTGACTCCTTTGGGAGGCCCGGATCCCCTCATGGCGATCCCAGACGTCGGACGCCGTGCTTTTTCCACGATGACGCTCCCCAGAGATCTGTACCTCCTCCTCCTCCTACTACACCTCCCCCTCCTCCTCCTCCACTCCCAGGGGCCAACTTTTCATACCGAGACGTCTCTTGACGGCCCAGGGGTGCCTGGCGAGGGCCCCAGGAGGGTGAGAGCTGCCAAAAAGCTTGCGTCGCGATTTTCTCAAGACGCGAGGATGTCAGGTGGGGGGAGTGACGAGAAGGAGGAGGAGGAGGAGGAGGAGGAAGAGGAGGAGGAGGAGGAGGAGGAAAAGAGGAGGAGAGAGGTGGAGGGGGCCGAAGGGAGAGTGGAGGGAGAGGAGGAGGAGGAGGTGGAGGAGGGGAGGAGAGGAGGGACAGGAGTAGGAGGAGTAGGAAAGGTAGGAGGTGAAGAGGAGGTGGGGAGGAGGGAGGAGGAGGAGGAGGAGGGAGGAGGCGGAGGAGGAGGAGGAGTACGAAGAAGAGAAGGAGGTGGGAGGAGGAGGAGGAGGAGAGGAGGAGGAGGAGGAGGAGGAGGGGAGGAGGATGGGGGCGCGAAGAGGGAAGAGGAGAAAGGTCGAGGAAGAGAAGTACGACAGCGAGGAAGGAGGAGGAGAGGAGGAGGAGGAGGAAGGAGGAGGAGGAGGAAGGTTGGAGGAGGAGGAGGAGGGAGGAGAGGAGGAGGAGGTGGAGGAGAGAGGAAGGATGGAGGAGGGAAGGAGAAGTATGAGGAGAGGAGGAGGAGCAAGGAGGGAGATGGAGGGAGGAGGGAGGAGTGAGGAGGGCGGAGGGAGGAGACGAGGGAGCCAGGGGAGATGGTGGTGGAGGAGGAAGGAGGAGGTGGAGGAGGAGGAGGAGGAGAAGGAAGAGAGGAGAAGAGAGGAGGAGGAGGAAGGGGAGGAGTGGGAGGAGGAGGGAGGTGGAGGAGGTTGGAGGAGGAGGAGGAGGAGGAGGAGGGAGTGAAGGAGGAGGAGGGCGGAGGGAGGAGGGGAGGAGGGATAGGGAACGAGTTGTAGGAGCTGGAGGAGAAGCTTGGAGGTGAGGATGAGGGGGAGTGGTGGATGGAGGAGGAGGAGGGAGGAGGGGAGGAGTGGGAGGAGAAGCAGGAGGAAGAGGAGGAGGAGGAAGTGGTGGTAGGAGGAGGTGGAGGAGGAGGTCCGAGGAGAGGGGAATGGAAGTGGGGGAGGAGGAGGAGGAGGAGGAGGAGGGGGAGGGGGGAGCGATGAGGAGGGAGCGAGGCAGGAGGGAGGAGGAGGGAGGCAGGAGGGAAGATGTCATGGATGCCCGCACGGCGATCCTCAGGCCCCGTACACCTCGTGCCAGACGGGCTTCGCGTACTGACCTCGGATGACGGCGGCTGCGCGCGACCGTCGCACCGCGACCGCCCCTCGCAAGAGGACTGGCGCGCGCTCGCCGGAGTAAAGGCTGCTGCCCCTCGTCCCCATCCTCGTCCTCCCCCTCCTCCTCCTCCTGCTCCTCGCTCTGTCCTCTTGGCTTCCTCGCTTCCTCCTCCTCCCCTTTTTTGAAAACAGCGCCCATACCTCAGCAGCTCCCGAGACCTCGCCCAGCGACAAGAACATGCCGCACACGAGGGAGGACACGTGGAGCATGGAGCGAGACACCTCCGCACTCATGTACTGGTGCGCCTCGCTGACGTACAGGACGAACTGCGAACACCAAGCCCACGGATTCTAAGCGACAGCGCGATCACGGCGGCAGCTACATACAACGCATGTCCACAGTGCCAGGAAGCCCCGACGCCGAGAACAGACACTGCCACCACAGACGCATTAAGCCATAGACACGGTACGCAAATACTCCAGAAGAACAGCGGTCCAACCAGCACAGACATCACATCTCAGGAGAAAAGGCGGCCCTCTCCAGGGTCGGGCGGTAGATCTCGCGGAGTCCAGTGCCCAGGAACGAGGCCTCCGACGAGAACCTCCATCCCATGGACATCTATGCCGACGTCCACGGGCAGCTCCTGTGGCTCGCCCACGACACACGTGGGGATCAGTGGGGATCGACCCCCCGAAAGAGAGGGAGCATCACCATCTCCAGGTCTGCGTACTTCCTGAAGCCAAGTACGCGCGATGTGATCACGAGCGCTCCACCATCTACCGCTCGAAAATCAATTGGCACAGCTGCCATGCGGCGCGCTCGCCACGCCGAGCACCAGCACCGTGCCGCCATCAACCTGATTTGCTGCAGCTCCGCCTCCGCCCACGGCACCATGACGAACGACCTCCGCAGCTCCAGCAGCAGGGCAGTCATCCCCCGTAGGGGCCCGAAGAACGCCGTCTGCCACCAGCGGCTGGCCGTGCCCCATGGGCCCAAGCGGCACGAAGCACGCCGCTCCTGCCCTGAGCACGTTCTGCCGCGCTGCAGCCCGAGGCGTCCCCGTGCCCAGAAGTACCCCCAAAGGCGCAACCTTGCACGACGAGAAGGCGACCGCGCCGCATGTGCACCGCGTGCCGAGCGACGAGGCCTCGGCGGCAGGGCATGTGGCTGACTCCTCTCGTGACTCCGATCCAAGCGCGGCCCATGCTACGCCCGTCGGAGGTCCGCAGCGTCGGCGATCGACACGTCCAAACAAGCGGGGTCCGCATATAGGGCAACGCTGCGCCGTAGAACAGCAAGCCAATCAGGAACTCGGCCCTGCAGATTCGCCAGAAGAGCTGGAATCAAGGCGCGAACACGCCGCGCCGCCTCGCTGCTGCCGACCATGACGTCGAGCGACTGCTCGGCAAGGGCGAGGCGAGCCTCCGTGCCTCCGTTTGCACCTGCCGCTCCATGAAGCGCTGCACCAGCCGATCCGCGGAAGCCCGAGCGCCAGCAGCTCCGCGCCTCGAGCATCCCTTCGCCGCACCATCCCCCATCGGGGCAGCGGCGTCCCGCGCCATTCTCAAGAGCCACCGCAACACCTCCCTCTCGCTCCGGACTGGACGCACATGGGCTAGCCGGCTTGAGCAATAGGGGTGTCGCCCGCTGGTGGACGGCTTGGGCCAAAAAGGCCACGGACCCCTCCTCCTCCTCTTCCTCCTCTTCCTCCTCTTCATCCTCCTCCTCCTCCTCCTCTTCAGCCTCCTCCTCCTCCGCCTCCTCCTCCTCCTCCTCCTCCTCCGCCCCCTCCTCCTCCTCTCCTCTCCTCTCCTCTCCTCCTCCTCCTCCTCCTCCTCCTCCTCCTCCTCCACCCCCTCCTCATCCGTCCTGTCTCTCCTGCGTCTCCTCCTCCGTCTCCTCCTCCTCCTCTCCTCCGCCTCCTCCTCCTCCTCCTCCTCCGATTTACCCTTCTCCTGTCCTGCTGCCTCTTCTCTTTTCCGCCGTCCTCGTCGCCGTCCTCCTCCTCCTCCTCCTCCTCCTCCTCCTCCTGCACCTCCTCCTCCTCCTCCTCCTCCTCCTCCTCCTCCTCCTCATCCTCCCCCTCACCAGGGAGAATGATAGTGGGGGCCTGGCTCAGGGATACATCGGCGATACATCGCCGATGAATCGGCGATAGGCTCTCGATTACCAAACCGCACGCCTCTGGGCGGGGTGGGCGATCGGGCCCCGATTGGCGATGAATGGGCGAGGGGGGGCGATGCGTGCCCCCCCCCGAGCCTGCGCCCCCACATCGTTGCCCCTGGGCCTCCTGCTTTGCAAAAATGAAACGCAGAGCGCCGTCACGCCTCGTGGTATACACGCATCTGGACGACTGCTGTGCCGAACTTGTGGCAGAGCGAATGCGTGTTCCACGGTGGCCAAAACAATGCATGTACGCTCTTGCCAAGGTGCCATGGCCGCTGGGCTCTGGCCTGAAGTCGGGCGTGCCCCCCTAGAGGCCGATTTTGGACGGAAATGAACCATGTTCAAAACAAATGCAAGCATGCTCAAACATACAAAAGAAATCGTCTCCCGACTATTCTGTCTACTATTCTTGAATATTCCCCCCCCGTAGAGGGACAGGCCCGTCTTAACTCTGGACCGCCTTTTCATCCCGAATCGCACCAAGCCGCGCGTTCCAACCGCCAGGCTGCAGGAAAAGCAGCGCCCGTCGCGATGTCTTCCAGGCGTCGGAGATCTGGGCGCGCGCTCGCGGCGAGGGAACGCCTCGACCCCCCGCCTCGAAGTCTGCCCAGTGTTAGGTCGGGCGTGTCCCCCTAGAGGCTGATGTAGGATGAAAAAATACTCCAAGAAGAAATCAAAATTCAAAACATATTTTTTAAAAATAGTCCTCCGACTATCCTTGACTAGTTTTGAAGATCCCCCCTGTAGAGGGACAGGCCCATGAGCCAAGTGCCGGTCCCTGGACCCCTCCTTCCTGGGCACCCTCCTGGCCCACTCTAACGGCCCCGGGGCCATCAGGAATGGATCCGGGCGAAGGGCTACAGTCGGACTCGATTGGACAGGACACGCGAGAGGACACAAGACCCTTCCGAGTGCCACATTGCCATTGGAGTGTAGGAGGCATGGGTCGCGAGACACAGGACACGAGGGTACCCTTGATCTGGCAGGGTCGACCTACTAATCCGGGCCGCCTGTACCTTGGGGGAAAGGCTCGGGACTATGGACTTTTGGTAGGTGGATCTCTCAAGCTCTCCGCCGCATCTGGCGGTGCGCGCTGCAAGCAGGAACGCAGCGAGGCCACAGGAGAGCGCGGCATTGACAGTGTAGCTCCGCACACGTTGGTGAAAAGGCTCGGGACTTTGGGGACCCAGGTCGAAAACATCACATCGACGAACGTCCGGGGTGGCGACCCACCCTGCAGTCGAAGAGGTGATCTCGGGCTCCAGTCTATGATAATCCCACCAGACTCTTGGCGTAGGTGTTCAAACGAATTCTTTCTTGCCTCTTCCATTACCGCCTTCTTCCCCTTCGGGCAGTGGCTTCTCACTGCTCCTCCTTAACAAACAGCCCCCTCCCCCAGGCGACCAGTGATCAACTCGGACCCATGTGCGCCCCATGAGGCGCCCCCACCCAACCATCCCAGTCAACAAGTAAGATAAACAATACAAACTGAAATAAAATCTTGGGTCATTCTCGTCGGCCCCGCGAACACGTCGTAGTGTTTTTATCCCGGGCAGCCGGGGTGCCAGCATACTGCCTGCTGTGCGCAGGACCACACCCCTGTCAACAAAAACAAAACAAAGTGCACTTCACGGCTGCATCTGGATCATGCGCGGCCACCCCGCGATCACTGCCCATTGATTTTTGACAGGGACGGCGGGGGTGCTGGCATATTGCATGTTTTGTGCGGGCCCACCAGACACAATGATGGCCATCCCGTCGCGATTGCGCATGGTTTTCGACAAGGATGGTGGGGGCCGACATGTTTCGTTTCCCAATGTGTGATGTCACGTGCGCGGGCGCACATGGCACAATCTGCGCGTGCCCGAACGTGGCGCACCTGGCGCGGCCGAAACATGCGGCTCATTTGCGCACGTGGAGCATGCGGCGCATCTGGCGCACCAGGCGTGCCTGGCACGCTTGGGCCCCAGGGGTACATGGCGCACCTGGCGCGCGTGGCGCGCCTGGTACGCGTGGCGCACCTAGCCCCAGCGTCGCGCACATGGAGTCTTTTGTTGGTTCCCAATAGCTGTCCATGTCCATCCAAAGATGGCAACTGAACATGCTGAGGTTCGGGTGTTCCTTCTGTGTTGGAAGGGCGGATTGGAGTGGGCAACACCGCGCGCGGCGCGTAGGAAGCTTGACCCCTTCCCCTACCCTCTCCCAGCGGCCTGGATAGGAGAGGGACGGATGTGCCAGGGGGTCATATTTCGCCCAAGATAGCTCCAAGAGGACCTCCGATGCTCCACGATGGTCTCAAAGATGGCTCAAGATAGCCGAAGATGGTTCAAGATAGCTTCCGACATACCTCGAGGAGGCCGCAATATAGCCACAAGACGACTTCAAGTGTTCCCGGAGCAACCCAGGAATCCCGTCCAAGAGTCCATAATCCTTGCTAGCAAACGTAGATTGATCAAATGTGCCTTCTTGCCTTTTCGCGTCCGAGGGCGTCTGAGGCCTCAAGACGGCCCTACGATGGCAGAAGAAAGCCCCACGAGGGGCCCAACAGGCCCCTCAGATGGCCCCAAGGGCGCCCAAGAGCGCCCAAGGAACGGCACTAAAGTCTCCAAGAAACTGGTTTGAGGGTTCTTGAAGGGGGACAAAAATAAGGGACCCCGTGTGAGCCTCCAAGATAGCCCCACGAGATCCGCCAGAGCTCCCTAGAGACCATCAATAAGGCACCAAGACCCCCAAAAGAGCGCCAAAGGGGCCCCAAGACGGCCTCGAGAGAGCCCCAAGAGCCTCCCCAGAGCATCGTTCCTGGATGGGCTGGTGGGGGTAGGAGGAGAGAGCACGCCTGTGGAACACTCTCAAAGGGGGGTCCCCCCTTAGCTACCCCCCCCTGGACCTCCCTGCTCGAAGCCCCCCCCTCCCATTTTTGTTCGCCGCCCCTCGGAAGCTCCCCCCCCCCCCCTTTCCAAAGAAGACGGGGTATCAGTCAGCTGCCCCCCACGCCGGCTTGACCCCCCCCTGCTGGAACTCCCCTCTTCCCCTCTTCCGCCAGAAGCGATTCGGCCCCCCCCCCCGCACACTCTCGGCGAGGCGTACCTGGTGGGACACACCCAGAGGCTGGGAACCTCGACAACCAACGAAAACGTCCCAACCTTAGTTGCACTGATACGCAACACGCAACACGTAGCGTATTGATACGGAGCTCAACACGTAGACTGAACAACACACAACGTATTGACACGGACGTCTTGAGTACGGCACGTGTTGCGTATCAAAACGTGCGTATCGAGGCAGCCAAGGTCCCAGCACCAATAACCTCGATTAGGGCGAACATGATGTCATGGTGGGGTTGACTCAGGATGCGTTCCGGGATCTCCAGAGTTGCTGTCTGGCTGCCCTCGCTCCTGCAGCTCGTGCGGAACGTCTGAGACACTGGCAAATCCTGGAAACGTTGGACAGGCTGCTACGTATACAGTCGGGCCGCTGAAAGAAGGAACGCTAAATAAGGAACGAAGCCCCTTCTTGGCCCTGTAAGCGCCTGCGTGCCCCTGGAGGGCAAGAGGAACAGCACTGGAGGAACCTAAGGAACATCGAGCCCCTTTCCGAACCCAAGCTGTTCCTTTTTCCAGCGTCTTGACTGTATGATGCAGAGGAATCTGCTGCATAAGCACACTTTCTCTGAGGTTGAAAAGGTTTCCTGAAGTCGGCGCCAATCTCCTTGAGCGCGCAGCGCACCAGGGCGGCGCTGGTGGCGCCGCCAAGAGAGCCAAAGGCCGATCCCATACATCCGCACGTGAGCGTCTTCTTGTTCGGCGTTTCGACATTGGGCGGAAAGGGGTGGGCGGGGAGGGGGGGCGGACCTCTGCTCAATGCGACTGTCTGTTTGCAGCCGTACTCCATCTGGGGGAGACTCCACACGCTCGAAACAGGCGCCAACAGCAGCCAAGACCTACTCCATGGGGGGGGGAGGAGAGGGGGGGTGCGAGGGCCCGCGCCGATCGGCAAAACAAGGCAAAACAACGTTCACCATGGAGCTCCGAGAAAGTGTGATTAGGCCGTCTTTGTTCTGCGAGACTTCTTTGATCGATTGTTCTGGCCTGGGTCTGTTGGAAGGAGGAGGACATGTAGGATGAGGAGGATAACATGTAGGAGTAGGAGGAGGAGGAGGACGAGGAGGAGGAGGAGGAGGAGGAGGAGGAGGAGGAGGAGAGAGAAGAGAGAGGAGGAGCGACCGTGCCAGAAACGGAGAGAGGAGCGGAGGAGGAGGAAAGAGGAGGAGAGGAGGAGGAGGAGGAGGAGGAGGAGGAGGAGGAGAGGAGGAGGAGGAGAAGGAGGATATTCCTCTGATCGAGTGGTCTGGCCTGGGGCCCCCGACAGGCCCGCCGAGGCCGCGGCTCTCCGCAAGGGCCAGGAGCCGCCGCCGCAGCGGCGTCGAGGCGGCCCTGGCCTGAGCGGGGCCACTCTCGCCGTCCTCCCTCCTCCTCGCTCCTCGCGCACTCCTCCTGGCTCCCTTCTTCCTCCGTGGTCCCTCCTCCTCCTCCTCCTCCTCTTCCTCCTCCTCCTCCTCTTCGCTTCTCCCTCGTCCGCCCTTCTTCTCCTCTGCATCCTCGTCCTTCTCCTCTCGTCCTCCTGCCTCCATCCCTCACCCATTCTCCTGACGTCCTCGCGCCGTGAAAGAATCAGGATGGGAGGTGTTGGCAAGTTTCTGCCCCTTGGGCCCTTGCCAGGCCATGGCCATGGCCGTCCGAAAACGGCTCCGGATGAAAAACCGATTCTTGGGATGGGGTCTAGTCCTCTCGGGGGCCGCGTTGTGGAACAAAAAGGCATCGGATATGTGGGTCCTCCTCGTGGCCGCGGCCACGGCGCTGAAGGCAGGTTGTCGTGCAGCGGGATACTCGACGAGACAACAGAGGGGCACTGACCGGCATGGAGCCGTGGGGCGGGCCCAGGCCGGGGAAGTGCCTTCGTCCTCTTGCTCCTCCCCCTCCTCCTCTCCTCCTCTCCTCCTCCTCTCTCTCCTCCTCCTCCTCCTCCTCCTCCTCTCCTCCTCCTCCCCCTCCTCCTCCTCCTCTCCTCCGCGTCCTCCTCTCCTCATCCTCCTCCTCCTCTCCTCCTCCTCTCTCCTCCCTCCTCCCCCCCCTCTCCTCTCCTCCTCCTCCTCGTCCTCCTCCTCCCCCTTTCCCCCGCCTTGCCAAAGACTGCGAAACCCTCGAGACGGTGCACCAAGACCTACCGCGCACGATCGGCGCTGCACGGTGAGACAGACAACGTCGGCGCTGCCAGAGCTGCCCTGGCGGCGTCGCCGAGATTTGACCGCTGCACGGCGGGCCTCTCACGACGGAGGAGGAAGAGGAAGAGGAGGAGGAGGAGGAGGAGGAGGAGGAGGAGGAGGAGGAGGAGGAGGACGAGGAGGAGGAGGAGGAGGAGGAGGAGGAGGAGGCGGAGGAGGAGGAGGAGGGGGGGCACCATAGCGCCCACCACAAGGGATGACTCCCGAGTGGTGGGTCCAGTTCAAATAGCTCCCGCGGGGCACAAGTGCGCCAGGGGGAGGAGAGAAAGAAATGGGGCCCCGCCTCATCCCGCGGGTCGTGGCGCCTTCGCGCCGAGCGCCGACGCGCCGAAGAGGAAGTGGGCGCATGCGGGCGGCGGGCGCAGGCCACGACGCGACGGGGGGCAGGGGCCAAACAAAACTTAATCAGAGCTGTCCTCATCCCCTCAGGAGGGGATCGCGCGGGAAACACTCCGAGGAAGGAGGAAGTGGCGCGATTACCTCTCTCGCGCCCAGCCCCAGGACAGGCGGCGTCCGAAGACGCGGAAGCACGGTTAATCGGCGCGCCCTGGCAGCCGAGGAGGTTCGCGCCCGACGTGGGATGGAGCCGCCGCTCCGCTCTCCGTATACCCATGCGTCGATTCGCAAGGGTAGAAGCCGCTGGACTCGGCCCCTTACAAGGCAGCACCGGGTTCCTGAAACGGGCGGGGACCCCACGGGCACAGCACCGCCGACACACAACAAGGGGCCCAACCTTAAAAGGGTCATGACCGAGGTCCCGCATGGGCTCCAGAAGGTCACCGACAGGCGCAGAGGGGGCCCGCCTCCAGACACTCGAGGGCCTCGGGGTCGGGGGCGAGCTTCGCTGCAGCTTCGCACGCCACGCCCACAGCTTCGCTCCGCACCACGACAAAAGAAGACCAGTGCGCTAGGAACCGTTCCGTGGTGGCCGCCCTCTGGAGAGCCGCGGGCTTACAATCACGAGTCAGCCTATGTGTCAGGAGGGCCTTGAGGGAGGCGGGAGTGCGAGCAAATCGGCCACAGTGCTTGCACCTCCACTCACCTCTGACCTCACACCCCCAGAGACAGCGACGGGTGATCTGCACCTTGGCGACCGCGTAACAAAACTCAGCCAAACGCAACTTCTCGGGCAGATCACCCGTCCACCCGCCGCTCTTAAGCAGCTCCAGGGAGGCCCAAGCTAAACAAAGCGTTGATTTGTGGTGTTTGGGTTCCCCCGCCAAGGCATGTGAGGATCCTTCCGAATAGGAATGGGACGCCGCTCCAATCCTAGCGAAGAAATCAGCCCACTGGTTGCCAGCCCAAAAACGCAGGCTCGACCCTTTTTCCAGAACCTCGTCTAGAGAGCAGTGGAGCTGACGGCCCCGAGCTTATCAACATTATTTGAAAAGCACAAGTTGCGCAGCAAATACTGCGCTGCAGGATCTGCGCCGCGCACATTGCACACCCTCGATTGCACCGCAGCCACACGTGCTACCTAAAATGCCCTCCCATCGACTTCATCACATGTCTTGCAGCATGGATTTCAAACGCATCTTACACCGCACATATTGCACAGCATAGGTTGCCCCACATTCATGGCGTACCGCTCATGGCTAGAAACGCTCTGCTTGGGACCCGGGCTGGCTAACATTCAGTCCTACAAACGCGGGGCATGGTGAAAGGAAAGGCGGTGTCCCCGTGCGAGGGCGTCGCCATGCAAGTCTGCGCGTTTTGTTTCAACTGTCGGCGCAAACGCTCTCAGGCCTCAACCGGGCGACGACGTCCTGTGCAGCTTGTGCCCATTAAATAGAATTTGGCCGTCCTGTTCGCGATTGCTGCAGGAATTGCGCGTTGGTGTGGTCTGCGCATTCGAAGGCAGGTGGCGTCGTGGCCCCGCCGCTTGCGCTGGCCCCGCGCGGTCGGAGTCGGCGCCAGGCCGCCAGTGCATCGCGCGACGCGCCCGCGCGCTGCGCCCGCGGCCGGTTGCCCGCGACGCCGTGCACCGCGACCTCCGCCTGCGAGTCGCCTCCCGAATTGCAATGCAACGTCGCGCCGCGAGCTGCTCTGCCCGCCGCGCGGCGCGCCGGCAGCCGAAGCTGCGCGGGGAGAAGGGCCAGAAGAGACAGCGTCACAGCGCAGACAAGGCAACGCCCATCGAACAGGATATCTGGGGCGTCCATGCACTGAGGTCCACGGCGCCCAGCGCCAGACTAGACCGCGAATGAGCCGCGGCCGCGCGAGCCAGAGGGGCGCGGCACGCCGGGCCAAGCGGTCGAGAGCGAGCTGGCGAGCCTCCCAGGCGCGCGCGGCGAAGCAGAGCACGCGCCAAGGAGGGGGAGGGGATGGAAAGAAAGCCATGCGCGATGAGCCTCGTCCGAAGGCTCGCTGCAAATCAAGAAGGCCGCCAGTATTTGACCCTGCGCATGTGCTGCATCTCGTCGTCGCGTTGCTCGACGTCCTCCTGCGTTTGCTGCGATTGGCGTTTCTCATCGTGTTCGCGCTGCTGCAAGTGGTGCTGGTGCTGAGCTGGACTGACGGGCCTCGACGCGCTGGGAGTTGGTCGGCGACAGTCTGCTCGTCGTCGCGGCGGTGCCCGATTCCGTGCTCGAGAAGGTCGCGGTGGATGCCAAGGTCGCCCGATGCCGCGGTGCCGGGTAGCGACGCGGCGTTCGCACCCGTCGCGGTAGACGCCGTTGCAGCGCCCGATCCCGCGGCGCCGGCAACCGCCACGATTCCCGCTCCTGTCGACGCGGCCAGCGCGGCCACGATCGACGCCGCAATGCAGGGCGACATCGCGGCGTTCAACTCCATCGCGGTGGACGCCCGATCGGCGCCCTGCATGGCCGACCACGCAGGGCAACGCAGCCAGAGGGAGGGCCTCGCACGGCCATCCTGAGACGCTAGAACAATCCGCGACCCGCCCGGTGGAAGAGGAAGCTCCTGGGCGGTGACGTGGTCGAAGACAAGGCTGCCCCTGCTGACGGCGGAATTGCCCGCGCCGCTTCGGTCTTTATAATGCCGGAGCGCGCGTTGAAAGGCAAGCCGGGGCTGGATTTGGAATGGGCACTAGCGCCGAGCAGCTGGCGCCCGAGATGCTGCGCAGAAATGCGACGCTCGCCGCGCGGCGTCGGAGCCAGTGGCGGAATTCAAGTCGGACGTGGAGAAAAGACTTAGTCCGCAGCCAGCGCAGGCGTCGGATGTGGGATCGGAGCCGCAGGGGGCGTCGAAAGGGGGCCCGAGCTGGAATGAGAAAAGGCATGCGTGGCATGCGTGCGGTGCTCGAGGCGCCGCATAAGGACGCGGTGCTCGTCGCTGGAAATTGGGTGCTGGCGTGGACACTGCAGTCGCAGATTGCCCGCCGCAGTCGATGCTGGAATCAATGCCGGTCTCAGCGATGGCGTCTGCGTTGTTGTCGATGCTGGAGACGGTCTGGCGTTGGCGCTAGCGTGGACGTGCTTGGGGGGGCAAGCGTTGCCCGCCCTGGCCTGTTGCGCGCCGGCTCCGGGGCAGATGCCCCCCCTCACTTCGTCTCCGCCGCGCAGGTCGATCGCGGGGCTGAGGGCGCCAGTGCGCGCGAGCGAGGATGGGCCAAACATTCGGCGCGCAGTGTTCAACGGGAACGGTTTAGTCGCATCGCCCAGGTCGGACCGGCACGCGTCCTCCTGGCGACGTCGGGTCGGCGGGGGGGACGTCGCGACCACCCTGTCCTCGCCGGGGGCGCAGCTCACAGGCGCCCGACCCGTCAACTTGCGCCCGGCCCTCGCGTTGTCGCGGACATATCGCAGACGCGCTCGACGACGCAGAAGTCGCGTCGCCGCGCCCCGCCAAGCTGATGTTTCAAGAGGAGTCGGCCAGAAAGACGGCCCAGAGGCGATCCGCAAAATCCGCCGATTCAGAAGCGCTCCGCAATAATCGGACTTGGAGATGCAATTTTGAAATGATGCGGAGCCGAAGCCGAACATGGCGCTCAGGCGAAAACGAACGCCGCGGCGGGGCCAGCGCTGGAATCGGCCTCGGAGCCGGAACTGGCCATGGAGCCGGCGTCGGGAGTCAGCGGGGCCAAATCTAAAGACGGGGCCGGCATCGGAGCCAACGCGTCGGAACGAAACGCAGCCCTGGGGCTGGAATCGGAGCAAGGGTCAAAATTGCAACGCGGGCTGTTGCGTCGGGCGTGGCGGGCAATCTGGCACGCTGCGTAGACTGCGACGGCAATGCGCCGCAGGTCATCGTCCGCCCTGGGGAACGGAATCATCCACCTCTCAACGAGACACACCGCGGCGCCCCTGCGACAGCGCGAGCGCACTAATCCACGGACAACTGGCCAGCGCCCGCAGCGCTCGATAGAGGCGCCTGCGCTCGCAGGACAGCCCGAGACAGATGGGCCGCGCGCGTCGCACGTTCCGCGGGCGCCTGTCTGTAGCCCGTATGTCGAAAAAGGCGCCGAGCACAGCAATCCGCGCACGTGGAGGAGCAAGACGACGGAGCCGCAGGAGGCGGCGGCGGATGCCCCTCGCCATGCGCCCCGGCGGCCTGGCCAAGCGCCAGCGTTCGACGCGCTGCCGAATGCGCGCTTCAGGTCTGAAGCCTCGGTGGCCCATCAGCTGCCCAACCGCCCACTTCTGAGTGCTTGCAGCATGCTCCGTCGCTCCAGCCTGCGCCAGCAGGCCGATCGACACTCTCGCGAGAGCCGCCTTCGCCGCTGCCGCGTCGACTCCGGCCGCCGACGCCCGAGCCATTTCGTTGCGCGCGCCTGTTTGAATTTGCGCTTCGTACGAATGGCGCCAACAGACCAGCCGCCCCCGGGAGTCGGCGCTGCCCCGCGCGTCGCGAAACTCTGAATACATCTGGTCCCAGCTGATACCGCCCTCACGGCCCGCCTCCCACGCGCGCAGTCGGACCCTAACTGCAGCGCAAGTCTCGAGTAGATGGTGGAGCCGCGTAGACAGCCCCAGCGACTCCCCGACGTGTGGATCCTTGGGGGGCGCACCACGCGCCGGGTCTCTGCGCCGCCGCACTAACGGCGCGAATATCTTCCTCGAGCACGCGCCCCGATGGCCCCATCGAGCTGCGCCGCGGACAAAAGAACAACAAGGACATGCACATTGCACGTGTAGAAAATGGGATGGAGCCCCATCGCCTTCCGCGGCCGATCCAACAGGCGTTCGCATGAATTCGTCGTCCCTTTTTCCCGCGACTTCTGGCGCTTGCCCAGTCCAATTGGAAACCCGAGACACTTGCCATCCGTCTCCCACGCGATGCTTGGCGTCTGTGCGTCTGCAGCCACCCCTGCTCTGACGGCGGCCACATCCTCCAGCCACAACGGGGCTGCAACGGTCTTGCTGATGTTCGACGCCAATCTCGGCGCATGCTGGAAGACCTCGAACGCGCGAAAGATCCACGCATAGTCTCTCGACCAATACTGAAGAACTAATGTCGCGTTGTCCGCGAGCGCCTTGGAGGTCGCTCTGCAGCGCCGCCACTGAAATGCTGGAAACAGGTTGCCGAAATAAAGCTGCGAAGAGAAGTGGTGATAAAGGGCAGTCCTGTCAGATGCCAGCCTGCAGCTGGATATGTCCGCGGAGGCTGCAGCCCAGAAGGAGCGTCAATATGGGGATGTGGTAAAGCCCGCGCAAAGTATGTTTTGCGCTGGATGGCATGCCAGCGGAGTCCGCCGCGGCCATAATGCACTCCGTCGATATGCTCCGACAGAACCAGGCCGCTGCAAAATTGAACAGGACGATGCCCGAGTGCTCTTTGTAGAGAGAAGTACGCATAGCAACTTGCTCTTGCTCCACTACGCTCTTCAGCATCGACCAATCGTGGATCAGCAGCCGTCGATCTTTAGCAAACAGAGGGACGAGAAGACGCTCCCATCGAATCCTGGAAGCGTTCCAGACCGCCCCTTGTCCGATATACAAAATTCGGGCGCTGGCTGTCGCGCGCAACTGGTCGCCCGCATCCGTGACTCTCGTGGGCTGCATCGGTGGGCAACACATCAAGGACTTATTGAACTCGTCGTGCTCCGAGCAGCCTGGCCGAAACCCGCGCTCTAACACGACCTCTCTGCCGCCCAGAAGACCGCGACTCCGAGCGGCCCCAACCGCCGCCGCGCTTCGTACGGCACGCCGTCGGGCCCTGGCCGGGACCTCCCAGCGAGCCGCAAAGCACGGCTGACGTCATGAGCACGCAATCTCCAGGCCGTCGGCGGAGCGGGGCTAACCTGGGCGCTTGCTTGCTTGGGGTGGCTCAGCCATGGAATGAGTTTGTTCCGATCGTCGTGATGGCCAAACACGCAGGTCCAGCGAACGTGCAAAAGCTCTGCCATCTCCTCTGGGTCGGTCGTCGTGTTATCGTCCTCGTTTGCCATGACGTGGATCCCGTTACGTTGGGCCTCCCACGTGTGCAGCTTCGCAATGCGTCGGTTGTTTCTCCATGGCCTGTGCGACTTGCTCGTCGCCGGTTGTCGTCGCCGTCGCATGCACATCCCACATGTCAATATATAATTCCTGCTTCAGCAGCTCCGTCGCCTTCGTCTTGAGCCGTTGCAAACTGACCCACGCGCCATTTCCGGGCCCCCGCCTGGCAATATCCCCCCCGCAACCTGGTCGGCAGAAAATCTCTCAGACGCTCGGCAGAGCTGGCCATGCCGCCTCCGATGTGCGCAATTTCTCTGGATGTAATCGCCATAGTTCCATAAAGAGCCTCCCGTGCCAAGTGATATTGGCCTCAAGTGAGGGCTTGCGGTGTGCGTCCCAGCGCGTGCATAGCCCTCTTCAGGAAGCATAACTGTTGTAATCCATCCAGCTCGTTACCTGCCATGTGTTGCTCCTGCAATTGTAGGTGGCACTCACATGCAACTCCCCTGACCCAATCGAAATGCTGGATGTGGTTGTCCTGGGAAGGGGAGCATTGCTTCCAGGGCCGCCTGTGACTTTCCACCCGTAGGAAACAAGTCGGTGGCCCGACCCGGCGCTGGGCCATGACAGCGCTGCAGAAAAGAGTAAGGAACGTCAGAAATCCGCAGAGTGATGATTTGTGTGGACTGGCCCTGTCCCGACCGTCGCGTGTACTGTCGTTGTGCGAATGCTTTCGGGCCCGGAGCGCGTAGCAGACTTCACGCAAATGGTTTTCCTCTCTTGCGCCCCTGCTGCGGGTGGGCTCCTGCGTGTTGTGAACCACTCTGACCTGATCGGATACCACGTGATTGAAATTCCCCGCCATAAAACCTAGCGCCCGGCTTTGCGTTTCCACCATTGCTGGAGACGATGTCGGATACGATCTCGGTCGGAGGAGCGCTGCACCGAAGGGAAGACACGCCACCGAAAGTGACCGTGCGCCCCGTGGCGAGCGGGAAGCCGCGAGTAGCCCTGGAAGGACTTCTTCCCAATCAACAAGCCGCACGTTCGAGGTGGCATAAGACCGATTTCTTGATGAGCAGCCCAAGGCCACTCTCTTTATGCGATCCGTGGGGCCAACACCCATCCAACTCGACGTCCAGGCTGACTGCTGCCAAGACGCCCTGGGTGGAATGCGCTCCCTGGGCGCCCACGACATCGTGCTGGGCAACAAGCCTGCGCATCAAAGTCATCCTCCGAACTTGCGCGTCTAAGTCGTTGGCAGACAGACTGTGTGCCGTCCACGTCTCCTGTAAATGGGTGTGCCTCGTGCTGAGAAGAAGAAGGAGAAGAAGAAGAAGGAGAAGACGAAGTCAGTCGCGAGGCACTCCAGTAGGGAGGCGGAGTCGCCAGTAGCGGCCCTGGGACGGAGGGTGTGGTTGTCGAGGCGGTGGGAGACGTGGTATTTGAGCTCCTGGTTGGATTGGCTCCTATTCTGTAACGTACATGGCACAACTGTGCTTGGGTCGGCTAGGAACTACGCCCCGTCGCACCCGACCAGCCGCAGAATCTCTCAATGGGGGGCGGTGGGTCGTGTGTCCTGCACGTGGGTGTGCTAATGGACAGGGTCCTGCATGATGCCCCCCCCCCCCCTTGAGAGGAGGAGACGAAGGGACGAGGAGACGAGGAGACGGTGGCCACTGGCAGCCACTCCGCAGGAGGACAGAAACACCCGAGTCAGGGCCCCGTAGACGGGGCCTTAGCGCACCCCTGAAAACTGCAGCCGTTGGTCGAAGCATTCTCTCGATTCTTCGTCTCCTCCAGGTCGGCTGTTCAGGAAGTCCCAGTTCGCAGCGTGTCCTGGCCTCAGGGGCCAGGACCGAAGCAGAGCGCCCGTGCCGCGCTAGACTCGAGGGGTGCCATGGGGGGTTGGGAGGGGGGGAGGCCTGCTTCTGCGACGGGTGCAGCGAGTCCTTGGGCGCCTGGGCGCCCGCGCCCTCGTTGCGCCTCGCTTCTCCCCCTATCGCTGTCTCCTCGCTGTCTCCTCGCTCCTAGCTCCATCCTCCTCCTCGCTCCTCGCTGCCTCCGCCACCTCCCTCCCTGCTCCTTCTACATCCTCTCTCCCAGCGAGCTCCCTGTTTCTCCTCTTCGCTCCTCGTCCTCCTCCTCATTCCTCCTCGCTCCCTCTTCCTCCATGCTGCCTCCTCATTCCCTGCTCCCCTTCCTCACTCCCCGTCCTTCTCCTTGTCCCTCCTCGTCCCCTCCTTCTCCTTCTCCTTCTACCTCCTCCTACTCATCATCATCATCATCATCATCATCATCATCATCATCATCATCATCATCATCATCATCATCATCATCATCATCATCATCATCATCATCATCATCATCATCATCATCATCATCATCATCATCATCATCATCATCATCATCATCATCATCATCATCATCAATCATCAGCATCATCATCATCATCATCATCATCCTCATCTCATCCTCATCCTCATCATCATCATCATCATCATCATCATCATCATCATCATCATCATCATCAGCATCATCATCATCATCATCATCATCATCATCATCATCATCATCATCATCATCATCATCATCATCATCATCATCATCATCATCATCATCGTTAACCCAACTCCCTCCTCGTTTCCTCCTCCTCCAGCTCCTCCATCCCTTTTCCTTCAAGATAGCTCCGCCTCCGCCATCGATGTCGGCAAGGCGCCCCTGGCGCTGCGCTTGAGGCTTCCTCCTCACTTGTGGCCCCGAGGCTTGAAATATCCAACATTTTCACCGATGGAGGGGGACAGGCTTTCAAAATGTGGCTCTCGTCTTAAAACCTTCACACAACGTAATGGCTGAGGGAGGTCGACGAGCGGTTGCCGACTTAGGACCGCGAATTTTCGCCGAACAGCTCCCGACTGCTACACGGATGGATGGCGGTCCCTTTTCCATGTGGCTCTCGCTGCAGCCGCGCACATTCGTCTCAAACGCTTCCCGACGGCTACACGGATGGAGGGGGGGCAAAATGTGGCTCTCGCCTTCTGGCGGCAAGCATTCGTCGTGAACACGTCCAACAGCTACACGGATGGAGGGGGAAGGGGCAAGACTGGCTCTCGCCTTCGCGCAGCGCACCTTGGTTTTAGAAGTTCCCAGCCGTCACGCGGATGGCGGGCGGTTCCTTTTCAAGATGTGGCTTTCGCCTTCGAGTCGCGCGCATTCGTTTTAATAGTTACCAACAACTACACAGATGGAGGGCAGTTCCTTTCAAACTGTGAATTTCGCTTGACAGGCTCTTCAAATGGATGGCCAAAACAGATACCTCAACTACACAGAGGCAGGCGACTCTTTTTCAAATCAGGGCTCTCGCTGGAGGCTTCCTGAGGGATCAAGCCAGACGGGTTGGGAGAGATGTGTTTCAAAGCGGGGCCATCACTGGATAATTCGTTGAACTTTGCGATCCTGCATCGCCGCCGACTTTACAGCCAGAGGGATGGATGATGACAGCTTCTTTACAAAACAGGGCTCTCGCCTGAATTGCAGGACCATGAGGCACTCGTGATTCAAAGGATCACATCCCGCAGTGGAAAAGACTGTTTGCAGGTGCTTCTGAGGAAGGGACTTGGGGCGGGTGGACGTTCTGCAGCATCGTTGACACACCCTGGACTTACATGATGGAAGGCGTTCGCGCCCAACTTGTGGGAATGTGTCAAGCACCACGCCCGTTCGCAATTATGTACGCGTCTCTGCTTCCAGAGCAACCACCGCGTTGTAGTACGCATGGCGTTTGAACCACCCAGGGAGGAGCCGCGAGGGCTTATTGCGCGGACACGTTCCCGCCCAGATTCTGGGGATACCTCGAGCGACACGCCCGCTCGCGAGCGTGAGCGCGTCTCTTGCCAGATCCCGATGGCCAGACCGATGTGGCATGACTGACCTGCACTCACATGGAGCCCGCCAAGGGGTATTGCACGGGCCCGTTCGCTTCCAGATTATATGCACTCAGACATCCCAATGGGAGACCCGCCAGGGGGCATGACCCGGGCCTGGCCCGCCCAGATGTGTGGGACCGCTCGAACAGGATTGCCGTCTGTGGCTCTGGACGCGTCTCTCTTCAGAGCCGCATGACCACCGCGGTGAAGCAGGCATGGCACTCTGGCCTCCCAGCGGGGAGTCGCCTGGGCATTTGACACGGGCCGTTGGCATCCAGATCGGTGGGATCTCCCTAACAAAACGGCCGCTTGCGGAAGTGGACACGCCTCTTGTCGGAACCTCATGTCCAGCGCAGTGTACGGAACAAGCGCAGATCACTCGCGTTTTGACTTGCCCGTGCCCAGGCACCCACACCAAAGAAGACAAGGGCCAGAGCATGAGATACACATCTGGGGGCCCCCGCGTCAAAAAACCGACGGCTCCCAGGCCGGAAGACTGCAGAACGGTGTGTCCGACGCAGCCGATGGCTGGGCCCATGCAGCCCCCGGAGGACAGCTCGGCGAGGAGGCGGCACGGCGCGCGCGCCCGAGGCCTTTTGGCGTGCGGCCGCGCGCGCGCTGCCCCGAGGCGAGGCCTCCCCTGGGCCGATGGAGCCACGCGCCGGCGGCCGTGCCGGCCGGCCGCCCCGGTCGGGGCCCCCTCCCCTGTCTGGGCCACGCCGCGGAGACGGTGCAGCAGCGAGGCGATGCCTGCAGGGCGAGGAGTCCACGGGGGCCCGGGGGCGCGGAGGGGCGCCAGCGGGAGGCTGCCGATCGGGCGCTGGTGGGCACCACCGGGCGCCAGCGCCCGCTCGGGGAGTCCTCAGGAGCAGGGTCCCTCCTGCCAGGCGTTCCTTTCCTGTCTCCGGATCCTTGTGCTGCAGGACGACGTCCACGAGGTCTGAGGGGCGCTGATGGGCGCCAGGAATTCCAAGGAGTTCCCAGCAATGCCAAGCACTGCTTCGCAGCGCCAGTCGGCGCAAAGCAGAGCAATGTCATTCCACGCCAAGCCACGCCAAGCAATGCGAAGCCAGGCCAAGCATTGTCAACCACTGTCAAGCAATGCCACGCAATGACAATCAATGCCAAGCACCCATTCCAAGCAATGCCAAGCAATGCCAAGAAATGCCAAACAATGGAATGCAGAGCAATGCCAAGCAATGCCACACAATGCTTTGCATTGTATTGCTTTGCAATGCTCAGAACTGATTTGCATGGACTTGGACGAATGACAACCCCAAACTCGATCGCGCCAGGTTCATTCTAATTCAGATTCTGGCAATGCCACTTGCATGACACTCCGCGCCCACATCGCCAGCCGTTTGTTCGACGCTCTGCCAGAAACACTCGTAAGAAAATAGGTGGCGGACTAAGTGACTTCCAGCTTTCCCTCACAAGCCATGGAGACCCCGAGAACCAACAGCGGTTTGTGCAGTAGGGCATCTTCGTCGACATCGGGAGATCGTGAGAAGCACGGGAAACCAAGAGAGGCTAGTCACACTACACCTGAATCCGCCACCGCTGGGCACGGGGTGGAAGCGTGTCCTCAAGTCATGTGCCGAATCCCGCAAGCACGCCCGAAGAGAGTCTCACACGGCCCGGAAGCCAACTTGCCAGATCTCTCGGGGCTTGCCGCGTCTCCCTGGGCGTTCCCCACGTCTTCTCCCGTGACTCCGACGACTGAAGGGTGCAGACGACGACGACAACGGCGAAGACAGGACGACCTTGGGCGAAAGTAGGCAGTAGGATGACAGCACGCTGGAGGTAGGATGACAGCAAGCTGGGGACTGGAGCCTCTGACCAATACACAGAAGAAGGGAGAGGGGATAGAGGAATAGGGGGAGGGGGATAGAGGAAGGGAGGGGGATGGAGGAAGGGAGAGGGGGATAGAGAAAGGGAGAGGGGGATAGAGGAAGGGAGGGGGATAGAGGAAGGGAGGGGGGTAGAGGAAGGGAGGGGGGGGATAGAGGGGGATAGAGGAAGGGAGGAAGGGAGGGGGGGGGATAGAGGGGGATAGAGGAAGGGAGGGGGGAGGCGGCGGAGGCAGGGCGTGGGCGAGGGCATGTGTGGTGCGGGTTGGGTGTGGTGGACGGGGGCGAGGGCGGAGCGCGAAGAGCAAGGCGGAAACGACAGGCACGGGGAGAGGAGAAAAAAACTATGCACATGCACCGATTCCGGCCAGGCCCATCCTGAGCCCAGGGTCGGTG